GTTGGTAACCGACGAGCCAGTTTGACATCCAAGTTTGACATCCCTATTATTAATATATTATATTAATTATATAGCTTATATTTATAGCTTATATTATATAAATATATAATATCTATATTATTTATAGAATTTAATTTTTTAAAATATCATAAAGTTTTTTATATATAATTATTTTAAATTATTTTATATTTCAAGCAATAACAATTCGAACACGAACGAACGCATCACTGTTCAGGTTTTGTTCGTTTAACTAACTGAACAAAAAAAATTTGTTCACGTTCGTCTCGTTTACTTATCGAACGAATCAAACACGAACTCATTGACGAGACGAACACGAACTGTTCACGAACAACGAGCTTTTTTGATGGCCCTAAACATACCGTACGGAGGGTGTAGGAAGTTGTAGTGAGGATTCTGCGCAGCATCCTCGAAAATTTTGTTGTCGTGCGCACTACCCTCCCTATCGGGCAAGGCAAAAGTAAAACAAATGTTAAAGTCCCACACAACCATGACATTCTACGTAGGGGCTCTACAACGTCCAATAAATGTAATCTTGTCATCATTTGTACACTTGCATCAATGTGAGTTTTATCTATTGTTTTATTCTAATCCTACACAGATACCTTCGAGTTATTAATGTATGATATTCATATTTAAAATTTAATACTAGAAATTGCAAATTTTACCTTAAAGAACGACATGTAACGTGCATCGCGTTAAATCTTTGTAGGAGTTTGTGCGAACGTTGGATCGGTTGATTTTTTTTACTTGTGTAGATATGCTCACAAGTGCATTCAAACTCATAGAGAAGTATATATTAATCGTCTCAGATAAGTATTGGAATCGTTTAATCACACTATGCATTGACTCGTTTTATGATAATATGTAAGTGTAATCGTCAATACCTCACGCTGAGTCGTCCTTGATGACCAATGAAGACCATGAAATCCACTAAGTTCTGTTAGAAGATCAGTAAATATCTCTTGCCTCATGTGAAACATGTTGTTGAATCTGGTTGGATGCCCAACAAGCAATTCCCGAACCCATTTGTCTCCAACATAAGACGATGTGAAGCATGGAGAGCGGTCAATGTATGTGTTGTAATACTCAACGATCAATCAAATAGATTGTTGCGTTTCTCCGTCTCCGTCTCCATCTTTCTTGGTATGAATCCATGTTAGGGTATATTGTACTAGGGTTTTAAAAAATATTTAGAATTAATAAATCACAAAGAAAGCATGACCTAAGCATTTATAAAAGATAAAAAATGACGGCTTGCGAATATTGAGAATTCATAAATATTATGCAGAAACATTCCTAGAATCCCGAAGAAGCATATCATAAGAAAATACAATAACAAACTAAAATTTTCCCAAACAACAACAGATGAAATAAAATAGTCTCCCAGTCAACAAAAAAGAAAAAAAAATTATCCTCATATTTCCCCACGAGCATAAAAATGTCGTAGATATGTCACCCGCTTTTCTTTAGCAATGGTAGCGAAGAAATCTTTATGGACTGGATCTTGAAGAAACTCTACTGCACAAAAGTATAGCTCAATCTGAAATTTTCTTATCTTCATCCGGAATTTGCACAACCCGCCTAATGGAAGTTGCCTGAACTGTGTGCGGGGCATCGTTGGAAGTACCTATTAGTTGTGATATTTGGTTTTTGAGAAGCAGCTCAACTCTTTTTTCGACCCTCTACATAAGGATGCTTAGAACAGTAGGTGGACTGGATTTCGGGGAGTTCCTGACTGTGGAGTTGAATCGCCTGATATGTTGATAGCCACATTCTCAGGGCTACCACAAAACTCTTTCTCACTTGGAGCGCGTGCATATTTTCCTATTGCAACGACACCCCCAAACATCTGGTCCAACTTCTTTAACTCGGGGTCAAATCCATAAAGTTTGTATTTTTTCGCTGCGGGCACCCCTGCAAGATCATATTAAACACTTCAATTAGTATTAAAAATGAAATGAATCAAACTAGACGAAATGAAAAATTTTTCACCGCAAGTCTTTCTGTCCACCACTCCTCTTAAGCATCAATGGTCGTTTCATTGGATCCCAACCCAAGCCCGTTGATCCTCGTTTCAAATCCTTCCAAAAATTTCAATCATTCTTGAGTTGATCTCACTTGTTTTTCAATTGCATCCTATCATAAACTTTGTATGTACTTTACTTGAAATTTGTGATAATATATTGTCATCATTTCTTATTGAAATAGGTCGTATGTCTATTTTCCAGTTAGGGCTGTCAATTTGGCTCGTTGTTCGCGAACAGCCTGTGTTTGGCTTGTTAAGCAGCTTGTGTTTGGCTCGTTTGTTAAGCTTAACAAGCCAAACACGAACAATTTTTTAAGCTCGAAATATAAACGAGTCGAACACGAACAAACATTTATTTGCTCGTGTTCGGCTCGAATTGGCTCGAAAAAAAAATAAATAAATAAATATACACACACATATAATACATATTCATAAAATTAAATATTATAAATTGTAATTAATTAATTTTTTTTAAAATAAAATAATTTATTAATAAAAAAATTAAATTCTATAAATTGCAATATTTAACAAATTATTAATAAATATTATATATTTATATAATATAAATTATATATTTAAGCTCTTATAAAAGTTATATAAATATTTATATTATAACTTATAATATATAATACAAGTTATATATTTATAAAATATGAGTTATATATATATTAAACACTGAGCTCTCGCCGCACCTTCCTCTCAAAATCTCCAAATAGGCTTTCGGGGGCTGCCCATCTCAAAATCGCGAAATAGGCTTTCTGCGGCTGCTTCTCCCTCTTCCGACTCTTTCCTCTCAAAATCGCAAAAGGCAATCCGTCGCGAGAGCTTAGGGTTTGTCGTTTGTGTTTGCCGCTCTCATCCTCTTCCGAGTCATCTCATTCTCCTCTCAAAATCGCGAAAGGGTTTCAACAGCGAGAGCTTATGGTTTGTTCTTCCTCTTCCTCCTGTTCCTCTTCCTATTCCTCTTTCTCAACAGCTTGATCTTCCGATTCCTCCAATTTCAAGCCGAATTCGAGCTGGAAAATATTATTCGAGCCGAACACGAACACACCCTTCACGAGCCATTTCAAACACGAGCTGACATTGAACGAGCCGAACACGAGCTAACCCTGAACTCGTTTACAACCATATTTCCAGTTCAATCTTCTTAAGGCAAATGTCACAAAATATCATTTTTGTTTTTTTACTCATAATGTCGGTGTACCAATCTCTTTAGTTTTATTAGTCATTTTAGTACTACAATAAAACAAAGCAAAATAACATAACAATAAAAATAATGTCACAAAAATAAACAGAAAGGACTCAATGGAGAACCAATGTCGCAACCACTGTATACCACGGGCAACAGAAATGCCACAGCCACCAACCCAACCCAAATCACACACCACTAACCACAACAATGCTACAACCACCGTAAGCCACAGACAACTCAAATGCCACAGCCACCAACCCAACCCAAAACCACACTCCACCCACCACATCAATGTCACAACCACCATATGCGACAGGCTATAGAAATGCCACAACCAACCCAACCCAAATCACACGCCACCCATTACACTAATGTCACAATCACTGTTCGCCAAAGCCAACAGAATACCACAGCCACCAACCCAACCCAAATCACACACCACCCACCACACTTGCCACAGAAAAAATAAATGTCACAACCACCAACCCAACCCAAATCACACACCACCCACCACACCAATGTCACAACCACCGTAAGCCACAACCAACATAAATGCCACAGCCACCAACTTAACCTAAATCACACACCTCCCACCACACCAATGCCACGACCACATAATTAGAATGCCAACACAAATGCCACAACCACCAACCCAACCCAAATCACACGCCACCCACAACACCCATGCCACAACCACTGAATCAAGAAATGCAGCCATAAACAAAACCTTAAACTAATGAGTTTTCCTTGAAGGATGAAACATTACTCATGTTTGTAAACAAAGCATAGAGTTCGGCCACATTCATCCTTTGGCATTAATATATCGATTATTCAAGAGCTTAATATATGAAAGAAAATAAACTTCCAACTTTGTCAAAATTAAAAGAAACTATGGCATCGTAATTGCCCCAATATTCTAGTTCATGACAACCATATTCATGCCAAATCTGTGCCAATGCCAAATACAAACCAGAAAATAAGAGCTATACAACAACAACTCTGAAGCATCCAACGGGCATAAAAAAAAAAAAAAAAGGTTCTTACCGCTGGCGCAAGGAACTCGTGAGAAGAGGAGAAAGAGGAGAGGGAGCGTGAGCTACGTCGAAGAAGAGGAAAACAACTACGTATCATAAGCCGTCTGAGAAGAGGATGCGAGGAGAGAAGATCGCGGGTTGTTGTTCTTCCACGGGATGTAATGTCGTAGTTAGGGTTATGTAAAAAGAGGACAATGGGGTAAAAAGCCGATCGAAGAAGCTGGGCCACAGTTAAGGGAGAACTTTGCACGTTAAATGTAAACCCTGTGGCAGCACGATGCCGTATTGCAGACCCCTCGCCGCCCCAAATGCACCGTAAGTCACGGGATTTTTTTTTTAATTAATTTTTAATCAATCTGTATATTTTTTTTCTACCTGCAACCTGACGACAAAATCAAACGAACTCCAACGAAACCTGAAAAATCCTTGGCCCATCCCTAGCGGCGGCCCACTCTTCGCTTCCTTGTGGCTTTGGTCCTTTTAATGAGTCAAACATATCTGCTCCACTCTTCTAAGCAATCGTAGTCAAAAGCGAAAGCCCTGCTTCCGTCTTCTTCCCCATGCTGCAATCCGTCCCCGATACCCTCGATCTTGGCAATGGGCGAGTCTCGCGGCTTTTCTTGGCTGGTCAAGTCATGCATAGCCGATTCCTGCCGGGAAATTGCCCGATCGCCAGCGGCCAACCACCGTCACCCCAATGAATTCATTCCCTCCGACGGTTCCCGCTTCTCCTCCCCAATATTCAACCTCCCGGACGATCTCCTCTTCGAGTGCTTCTCCAAGGTTCCTCTCTCCACCCTCCCCTCCCTATCCCTTGTTTGCCGCCGCTTCGCCATCCTTCTTGACAACCCGGCTTTTCATGATCTCCGCCGTTCTCGCGGTCGCCTCCGCCGCACCCTCTTCGCCATTTGCATCTCAGATCTCGGCATCATCACTTCCACCGCCCTCCCCGTCCCCTTTCCGACTCACCTCGATTCCTCCATCCCCATTTCATTTTCCACCGACCTCCCCGCAGACGCTTTTTTTCAACCCCGCCTCGCCGCCATAGGTCGTTCCATATACATTATCGGTCGGGGAGCCACTCTGCGATACGACACCTTAACCGGTGCCGTCGCTTTCCGTGCACCGACCATATTCCCCCGCAAGAAGTTCGCCGCAGCTGTGATCGGCTGTCGTATATATGTATCGGGAGGCGCCACCCGCACATCCGACGTTGAAGAGTACAATCCGGAGGCGGATGAGTGGCGGGGGGGTGCGGGGGCCCCCAAAAGGGGGGGTGGGTGGGGTTGGGGCGCGTTGGGGCTGCCGCGGGTGGGATTTTTTATGTGATTGGGGGTCTCCGTGTGGGAAGCCGGAGGGAGGAAGAAGAAGAGGCGCGAGGCGCACATACGTGTGCGGGATCGATGGACGCTTATCACGTAAGAGCTGGGGTGTGGCTGCGGGTGCGCGCAGTGGTGCCGGGCGGCGGATGCATCGTTGGGGCGTGCGGTGCAGGGGCGCACGTCTACGTGCTGGCCAGCCATGCTGTAGAGCTTTCGTTCTGGAGGTGGGACGGGAAGGGGCGGCGAGGAGGGGATTGGACGAGGCTTGAACCGCCTCCGGTGGGAGGGCAACTCCGGCTCGGCGGTGCGGTGCATTTCTCGTGTACGAGTATCGGTGATGCGAAGCTGGCGGCACTTGTGCACGCATCGGCGAGCCATGGGGGCGATATAGGAAGAAGGTCGAGGGGCGGGGAGGCGGTCCTTCTCGTCTACGATATTGAAGCCGACGAGTGGTCTCGTGGGCTGGATCTCCCGCCTGGTTTGCGCCGTGCTGTTTGTGCTTATGTGGAGTGCTAGTGCTGGTAAATGAGTATGCTTGATGTGCCATGAATTCTCTGGCTGAAATCTGGGCGGCTTGATTTGTTACTCCAGGCTCACAGGTACATTTAGGACTGATTTCGAAAGATGGAGCATTTGCGATTTCTGTTATTTTGATTTTTGATATTGGTTGCATGGGGAAGCTTTCTGGTTTCAGTTTGTTTTCTTTAACATCTTTGGAGTTAATCTGATTTTTTTCCCTAAATCCTAGAACTTTTGTCTTGAATACTTATTTTATGGTTCGTTTCATAAATAGAAGTCCTATTTGTGCTTGTTCAGATCTTTAGCTTAGCATAAATTCCTAAGCCATAAACCCGCTATCTGGGCGATAGCTAGCTTGAAGGAGATGTATTATTGATTTAACATCTTAATTTATCATGTACATTATCTATTATTATGTTGACTTTATTAACTGTTTTAATGAGTATATTGCCTACATCTTTTTTTTTTTTTGGAAAGTGCTTATAGTAATTACACAAAGGATATTTTCATTCAAAGAAGGGCTACTAATTGTTTTGAAAGTCATATATCAATGCCTTTGTCCCTAAGCAAGCATCTTATTCGTTTCTAGGACTAAGAGAGAAGAAATACTAAGTGTGCGTTCTCTTCATCCTAAGAAGTTAAATACCAAGATCAAGGCTACATCTTGATTAGGTTATGATTCACATTGAGAAAGAAAGGCAGGCCTTCAATGGACCATAGTAGTTCAAAAGAAGAGCGGCAAGAGCTTAGGTAAGTTTTCAATTCAAAGCAAGGCACTACGTTTGCTTTGGACTTTATAGTTAGAAAAATGATTAGAAAGAATTATTTGGATGTACAAACATCTTTTTTTTGTGGCAAGCTAGCGCATTGTTAAAGGGAATTAACTTTAGATACATTGACTTTTGAAGAACCTATTGATATAAACACTAGATGTCATTTGCAACCTATCCTATGTTTTGACACAATAGACCACAATGAAGGACCAATTGTTCCTTCACTTTGCTTGTAACAGATCAAACTTTCAAAAAAAAAAAAAAAAGAAAGAAAAAAAGTCGTATCGCACTTAACCGCTAGTATTTTAGGTTGTAATTTCTCACCGTTAGGTCGTGGGTCCGAATTACGTATATTGCCCTTTAGATTTACCTTTCTTGAGGGACAAAAAATAGCGTAAACTTTCGCCCATTGAAATATTGTCTACTTTTGTGTAGCGGCCCTACAATTTTGTCCCATTAGTGTATCCTTCCAAGAGATCATCTATCCCAAGCATCCTTCCACACGAACATGCTTAACTTGGAATCTTCTAATGAAATTTCGACTTTTATATCAAAAGGAATCCTGATGTTTAAAAATTTAGTTTCATCCTACTTAAGGTTTTAAAGTCTCCCTCACTCAAGTAACAAACATGCTCGTTAGTATTTTTTTTTTAATTTTGAATCATCCATAATAAAAATAAAATTTCAGCGGTGTTCCTTACAGATTCAAGCGACAACCCTTATAGATTCAAGGGCTATTCGACACAATGTAGCATTTGTCACGACTTATCATAGCACTTTATTTTGTATGGTACTTAGTTGTCCTCTTCAAGTTATTCTAATGCTCGGATATCATTTGTAACAACCCAAACTCTTTTTTCTCGAAATATTATTTAATTTGCCCTAATGACTTTATGGTTTTGTCCCATTAGTGTAACTTTTTAAGAGATTTCCCATCCTAAGGGTGGTCCCATATTAGCACATTTAACTTTTAGAGTCTTTGATGAAACTCTAACCATTATACAAAAAATATGTCAAAACTTAAAAGAGTGCACTTTCATTCAATTTAAGGGGTTCCACATTGCACCTGCTAATTTAACAAATAACTGGAGGCACGGAGCGAAGCGAGGGAATTAAAAAAAATGACTCAGTTACCATCCTAGGACTACTTCCCTGTTGCCCTAACCACTTCGTAGGTGGGATCCCAAGTCCTTCACTACTAATAAACTAATTCTTATCCTTGTATCAACCTCGCAAGTTATCTTCATCATGGATTGTGATATAAAAACTATTATAAGATTTATCAATTCGTAGTAGTCTTCAATATCCTTCAGAATTTTCGTCTGAATTTCTTTCCGTGTGTTCATAATTTTCTTATAAGACGAGCGAGATTACAAATTTAGCATGTATCCCCTCTGAATTTTCTTGAGAAAGCACTTTTTATTATTTACACTAAGAACCAATTGGATGGACCCTTGGCTCGCTGAAGGGGTGACAGTGATTGCAATTGTTGTACTTCTGTGGGCATATGTGGGCCCACACACCATTCAAGAGCCATAGAAGGTGAAGGTGAAGGTGAAGGTGAAGGTGAAGGTGAAGGTGAAGGTGAAGGTGGTGGGGTTACTCAACCCCACTAGATCGGTTCAATTCGAACTATCCTGAGTTAAATATTTATATATATGCGGCCAATATAGGCCTCAGAGTTGTGCTAAGATTCCTTCAATTTTGTTCTATTAGAATTATGGGGCATTTACACACACACCACCCAATTCTTATATATATATATATATATATATATAACTCCAAAACATTGGTTTTACATTTGCACTACCCGAATGGTTATGTCACATAAAAAATGCACTTTTTTTATTTTAAAAAAGTGAAATAGAACTAACTTTTTATGCATAGGTAAGGTGATATGTATGTAAAAATTGAAGTTTTGATGTTAAATATGTGAAGATGAGGTTTGAGTAGTGTGGTGTGTAAATCTTCCTGAACATGTAAATCTTAATTTTGACTATAAATTTCATTTTTTTCAGAGTCCAACTAATTCTTGTAATAATTTCTAAGCATAAATTGGCATTGGTTAATTTAGAGTTTATTTGCGTGAAATTATTTCTAAGCATAAATTAATTTCGTTAATTTAGAGTTTATTTATTTCTTAGAATGTTAAGTCTTAGTGACAATTATGTTAGAAATTATGATCTGAATGTATTTCAAACCTCGGATTTCTATTCTGAGAGAGAATTTTCCACCATCTCTTTCATTTTAGTACTTCAATAGGGAAAATATTACATCAGGACTGCTAACGTAGAGCTATGTTAGGAGTCCACTCATATGCGGACACGTGACTTCAAGAAAACTCGCACGCTTTCCTGTGATCCGGCCCGGTATCACAGGAGAATATTCCTCTCTTGTTGTTCTGGGTTATTCAAATGTTATTGTGATGATATTAATGTGTTATTGTGTTATTATAACGTCGAGAATATTCCCAGAACACAATAACAGATGAATACCACCATAATAACACCTGAATAATGCGGAATAACACGGGAGAAATATTCCTCTGCGTTAAAACGATTTTTTAAAAAAAATTTGTTTAGACCTTTACATGTCCGCATATGAGTGGACTCTGAACGTAGCTCTATGTTAGGAGTCCTGATGTAATATTTTTCCCCTTTAATATCATATTTCGAAGATAACAGGGTTTGAAATGTAATCGATAAAATTCTGAAATAAAAGTGAAAATAATTTTTGTGCGATCTTGCTAAATCTACTAATCTTTTGCGGATTCATATTGAAATTTGATTATTTATAAATAATTTATGTTTTACTCTTGAACAGGATTTATAAGTAATACTTAAAATCCTGAACAATTCAATATTAGTTCAGTAATAACAGTAATAGCGTTATTCATGTTAATAATTTAAGTGGTAAGCATGTAAAAAAAAATGTTAGATTTATAAATATATAAGAATTGTGTGGTGGGTATGTAAATGGTCTAAAAAATAATGCAAGAAGAGAGTTTGATGTAACCTCTTATGAAATATCATGCATAAATTCACTTTTTGGCGTTTAAAATTCATGGTAAAATGTTTATTTTTCATAATTTTATAGAGAGAAATACAAGATCTCAAAAAAGTAATCTTTTTTTCAAAGCTTATTAGAAAAATAACATTGCACAAAACTTTTTTAGATATTTATAATATAATATGTAAAACTTGATTGTTTGTATTTATAGCGCTCAAATCTTTGTCATATCAAAAATATCACTATTACGAATATTTAAAAATTAAAATGTGTCTTTTCAAGTTTTGATATAGTGCTATAAAAATTCAAAACTCGGGTATTAGATATGCAAATACATAAGAATTGTGTGGTGTGTGTATAAGGCTCTGTTTGGGGGGGCGTCGAGAGAGCGCAGTGGGTAAAAGCCACGGGGACCCGCCGCACATTGCGGTCGTTTGGGAGCACGTCGGGAGCGTGTCGCGGCGCTTTTTTGGTTAAATGCCGGTCGTGGAAAAGAGTCCTGCGCACCGCATTCGACATCGGCTTTTTACGGATGAGCCCCGCTTCCCCTTTCTTTGTCAGTTGTGATCATGAGATTACCCGCCTGAATGTCAATCGAGAAGATTTGCATACCCTCACATCTAAACCATCTTATTGGCGTACAATCTCGGTAATATTTTCCGTGTCTTCATTTTTAACAGAAGGAATGACCAATAGATTACTTTGGGCAACTGCAGAAGACCTAGTGAGGAACAGAGGAAAGGTGCTCTCTTTATATCGTAAAATTCTTAGATCTCTCAATTCCCCTCATCTCCCACTCACTTATGCCTCTCGCCTCATCTCCCACTCACTTATGCCTCTCGCCTCTCGAAAAAAGTTGAGGTCCGTACCATCTTCATATTTGGATGTGAAGAGCGATCCCTTCACAACATTGCTGACCTTATTGATACCGTCAAGTACTCTCTCTCGATTCTTAAAAAGGGAACAAGGCATTTCCTCTATGCTCTTCCCTCGGTATTTTTTGAGAATAATGAGATTAGTATTTACTTATTATGTTTTATTTGCTCATCTATTTCAAAGTGTTGTTTTGTGATGTTGCTGCACCCTTCAACAATGCATATGTGTGTATCATTCATGATTGGGCTGAGAATTATTTGGTTTTCAATCTAACAATTTGTCATAGTTTTTGAGCATCTTTCTTAACGGATTTACTATAGTACTACAATGGCCAGCAATATCGAAAAGAATGTCATGTCTGCACTGTGGGGAAAAAAAAGAAATTTTCTTTTTGCACACTTTATATCATCTGTTTTCATAAATTGTAATTCTTTTATTCCATATCAAATGAAAATCATTTGCATTTACATTTTACACACTTTATAGCATATGTTTATATTGTTCTGTTTTGAAATGAATTTCTGCTTCTGAAGTATCAAATATGTGGTTGTCACAGTTCTGTTTTGAACAGTTTTAGTAAACGGGGGTAGAAAATACAAGCGGAGTGTTAATTTTAAGGATCTATTTATTGC